ACTCACTCACACATTATAACAAACTCTGAGTGGTCACAAGATATGAAGCACGACTGTGAGTATCAGGAGTATAAACTCTAAAAGTCTTCTCCTTTACATTGTATTTAATTCTGGTAAGAAAACAGATATGTAACGGAATGAGGCATATAACAGCCTGTAATACATGAAACAATAATAGTAACAATAATACTTTGACAGTTACAACAAAATATGGGAGTCTATAAAAAATATTTGGGGGCGGGAGAGATAGCTCAGAGGTTAAAAGCTCCAACTGCTCTTCCAGAGGTCCTGAGTTCAAATCCAAGCAACGACAAGGTGGTTCAAAGCAATCTACAATAAGATTTGGTGCCCTCTTCTGGCATGCAGGCAAAACACTGTATACATAATAAATAAATAATTCTTTTAAAAAAATCTGGAGTGTTAGCAAGGACTTTCTTAGATTATATGGCTCTACAATGTTAAAATGTTTATATACGCAAAGGTATTCTTGTGTTTACATTACAAGGGTATTCAGAGCAACAGACGAGGGATGTGGCTTGGGTGGTAAAGGTAGCTTGGCATGAATGAGGCCGTGGGTTCTATCCTCAGCATCATAAAAACCAGGCGTGGTGGCTTATGTATCTAATTCTTGGGGGTGGAAGCAAGAGGATCAAGTTCAAAGTCATTCTCAGGTACTGAGTGAGTTTGAGGTCATTTCAGACTACGTGGACCCCATCTCAAAAAAGAAAAAAGAAACAAAAACAAAGAACTATACACTGGAAATTTTTCTACAGAAAAACAAAATATGCTAACAGATTTCTGAAGTTGTAGGCATTTATCCACCTGTCCTTTTCTACATTTTCTTCTATAATTTCCAAATTCTATACGGAAGTACATTAACTTTTTTGTCTGTTCTTAAAAAATCAACCTCAGGTATAGCAGTGGATCATCAGCACTCGGGAGGCAAAGGCAGGATAATCAGAAATTGTCTGAAAAAGCCACAGACAGACAGACACACACATACACACACCCTCAACTCCTGGAATCACTTTTAATGTTATCTGAAAAACATACTTTTACTGCATTGTTCTCCCTAATCACTGACACTGTGTCTGATTAAGAAAAGAGAGAAACCAAATTATAGCAGAAGTACATTTCCACAAAGAGGAACAATCCAAATAACACAAGTATCACACCTCGGTGCTTAATATTCTGGAATCATTTCTCAGGCTGAGTTCTTTATTTTTCGATTTTTAATGTACTTTGTAAGTTTAGTCTATGATGGTGCTTGCGTATAGCACTGACTCCACAGGCTGATAAAGTACAACCTCTCCCTTGCATGACAGGAGTGAGTGCCCAGCCTTGTCACTTGCAGCACATCAAACAAATCTGCTTACTTCCTGAGAGCAAACAGCAACAAAGGCCTTGGCCCTCCTAGTCTGTAAGCATGTTACCTTGACTTTCACCAGTCTCTTCACGGTCTTGATTTTTGCCTCACAGAAGGCCCCTCGGTACTTGGCGCTGACATCAGTTCCCACTGTCAGATAGGCAGGCTCATCTGCCGCCTGAGGAAAGAGCATAAACTCTTGAACATCACCGCTGTTCTCCCTACTCCAACCTCAAACAGTCCACATTAAAAGTCACTAGAACGTTAACATTACTTGCTCAATAACACTGATAATTCTGAAAATGCTCCTAAAGCAAACACCTTATTAGTCCTACTTCATTTTACATACTCATTTGCTGATGCCATAAAATGTTTTAAAGTTGTAACTTGAAACCACTGATAGGGAAAAAAATTATTTTTTCCAGATATAACATGCTTTAAGAAATTCTACAACTTAATATATAGGAAACAGAAAGATAAGAAAAAAGGGAAATATATTTATATTAAAAGTCTTGTGGATTTTATTAATTTTGAACCTCCAGGTAATTCTGTTTCCCAGTTAAAAAAGAATATTGCTATAAAAGTAATATTGACAAATCCATAATTAAACATTTAATGAGGCAGCTTTGTAAAGGCAACATCTTCTGCTTGCCTTGGGCTGTGAGACAAGGTGCAGGCTGTCTCTGCCTCCTAAACGCAGGGACAGGCCAGGGCCACCAAGCCTGGTTAAGGCAGTACTTTTGATACACTGTATCTCTACAGACAAGAAAGCAAGCAAACTCAGAAAATGCACTGGATGGAGGTTGCATGTAAAAGGCTTAAGTCTGAATTGAAGTGATGAATGCATTTATAAACTGATAAGGACTGTAGTCATATCTAGTTTACAACATTCATCTTCTCAGTATATTTAAAAAGGAAATTTTATTAAGGAATGCCCACTCACAAAAAAACTGGCCAAGATCAGAATTATACATTGAGAATATAAACTCCCAATTATTCACTTTAATCTCGACAGTAACACATGATTGGCATCACTGGTTGTCATTTTACCTATTTCAAAAGCTGTATGAATTCACACAATTCAATTCAACACTGTAAGTGCAAAGTGTAAACTTTAAATATTTTTAAGTAGGAAACAATTTTTCATTTTTCTCAAGTAACAATAAAGGAAGTTCTGTTGCTCCAAAATAAGAGAACAAGAGAAAGTTTGAGAATTTCCCAAAGTAATATACTTAGAGTCAGGTATGTGGTGTACACCTGTCATCCCAGCACTTAGAGTGAAGCGGGAGGATCATGAGTTCCAGGCCGACCTGGGCTACAGGATACTGTCTCAAATAAGCGAAACAAAGACAACTACATATTTAACACACACACACACACACACACACACACACACACACACACACACAGCAACAGTAACTACAACATAAATCATGTACTTTGAAACATCAATCCATTTAAAAAAAATTACTTTTTGGCAAGAAAGTATCTGACCAGAAATAGGCAACAGCCACAGAATCATAATGTTAGGAAAGCTTCCCTTCCCTTTAAACATGCAGACAGTGACGTTTGAAAAACTAGGAAGCTTCAAAACACTATACATGAAATACATGTTTTTAAAATATATACTATCAAGACTGAACTAATCAAGCTAAATACTGTCATCACTTTACTTTATCCCAGAAAGAGGTATCCAAAGCTATCTCCCCTACTCAAGCAACGGGTTTCTTTTAGAAAATGGCATTCAGAGTGGAAAGGGGGAAGTATTTTTTTTTTAAGAAAACAAGAACAAAACAAAAACCCTCCAAAAAAAAAAAAGCCTAAGTAGGACAAAAGCTTAACTTCTAGAAAGGTACTGCCAACACAGGAAGTGTTTGAAAATCGAAAGGGGCTGCACCGACCTTTCCAAAGTGCTAACTACTAGAGGGCTGAACTGCCCGCATTTACACACACACACACACACACACACACACACACACACACACACCACACACACAAGCACGCACGCACGACACCCATTCACACGTCATTTTCCTGAAAGTGCTGCTCAGTAGAGAAATCAATTTGGAGTAACAAAAAGCTACCATTCCACAACAGCCGCCCCGCGACTGGCATCGTCCAGAGCACAGGGCTGCGAAGAGTTGGCTTCACTTACCTTCATCTTGACTGGTGACCTGTGGGGTTCCAGCTTCCACGAGTTCTCTTCCCGGGCGCTGGAGTCAAGGCAGGGGAAAGAGAGGCAGAGGATCGGTCCGAGGCGGGGTACAAGGAAAGAAAGTAAACAAATGCAGGCGGGGAGGGGCTGAGCACCGTGGCCCGGGGAACAGACCCCGGGCGGGCGACCCCAGCGTCTCGGGCAGTGAGCAGAGCCCCACGCGCGCCGAAAGGGCAGCGCGTCCCGCCCCGAAGCCGCGAGACAGCCCACCGCGCCCCCCGCCTCGCCGGCCACTCGGAGCCCAGCGTCCCGGCCTCGCGGGTCCGCGCCCCGCCGGGCCCCGACTCCAGCGCGCGCCCCGCCTCCGCCGCTCGGCCCCCCTTGGCCCGCCCCGGCCCGGCCCGCGGCGGCGGCGGCGGCGGCGGCAACGGAGTGTCACGGCGCCATTGCTCTCCTGCCTCCGCTCTGCACCATGTCAGGAAGGAGAAGCGCTCCTTCACCCGGGGGGCAGAGGCGGCGGCCTGCGGCGGCGGCCGGCGCGGGGGGACCCGGCGGGGGAGGCGCGGGGCGGGGAGGCGGCCGGACAGGGTGTGGGAGGGGAGCGAGCCGCACCGCCGCAGCGGCCGCCTCCTCCCGCGCCCGCCTCAACTTTTTGTACAGCCCGGCCGGAGAGGCGCGGGCCCCGAGCCCCGGGGTCCCGCCGCGGGGTCCCCGCCGAGGACACGCAGCGGAGTTGGGGGCCGGCTACCCCCGGCAGCCCGCTCCTCCTGAGCAAACTTAGCGGCGCGGCCAGCCCCACAGCCATTTTCCCGGGGAGGCGACCGAGGCGACCGTGCCCGCAGTTACCGCTTGGGCTCCCGAACCCGACCGATGCCCGGCACCCCGGGCACGGCCCGCCCCGCATCCCCCTCCCCTCCTGCGGAGCTCCCAACTGCACCGGGACCCCATCGCGGCAGCAGCTGCTCCCGCCGCTTCGCCCATTCAGCGGCCCCCGCGGCCCCGTTGCCCACCCACCTACTGCGGGTGCAGCGCGCTGTCAGCTCTCCAGTCCGCCGCCCTACCGACCGCCGTGGGCCCCCGTCCGGGAAGCACCGCTCCCGGCCGCAGCGGCAGTTCCTGCGCCGGGTTCCCCACTCGCCCCGATTTACTGCCACAATCCACCAAATAACAAGCTGTTGAGCAGACTCGCTTCTACACGAACTCCTATTGGCTGCTCATGACGCCGAAGAGCTTCGGATTGGAGCTCGCTGTCTGCCTTTCTCATTGGATGTAGCTGTGAAACTTCCATGATTGGTGCGGAAAACAGCAGGTAGGACATCGTCCACTTCTGATTGGCCGTGTCCGCACACTCACGTTATTGGAGGATAGAGGATTGAGTAAGAGAGCCCAGAAAGCTGATTGGGAGAGCCGACTCCGGATGTGCTTGACTGAGCACTGATTGGAGAAGAGAGGGGTCAGGAAGAGCAGTTCCGCACGAGGATTGGGCGGTGGCGTGTCCCATGGAAACGGAATCCAGAACTGCAGCCAGGGGTTTGCACGGGGGCGGAGCCGGGTCTTCCCCAGGCGCCTGCGCCTAACCCGTCCCCGGCGCCATTTTGTCCCGGCAGCAGCGTCCGCAGCTCTTTCCCATTTTCGGCGTCTAAAGGCAAGGAAGCGGACTGAGGCTGGTAGGTTTACTTCTGTGAGGCGCCGGCTTACCAACTGCTCCAGGACCACGCCTAGCGAAGGCTGGAGGAGTCGCGAAGTCGTCCGAGCGGTCTGTTGACGGCTCCAGGTGTCCGGTGGCCTCGGGGGTGGCGCAGCTCTGTGCGCACCGGAAGCGAGGGCAGCCATGGGCGCTGCTGTCCGGCGGCGGAGCGGGGCTGGGGGTGGAGGAAGGGGGCGAGGCCGGGGGGCACACGTGTGGCTTTCTGAGGCGGTCCTTCGCGCCCCTTTTCTCCGGCTGGCGGAGTTGAATGGCATCGCTCCTCCCGGAACAGCCTTTTCCCCACTTTTAAATGCGTTTGGGAAACTGGCCTGCCGTCTTTAGTCACCAGGGGCCCAAGGGCGGCAGCTCCGATAAGACGGAGGAGGTGTGGTTTCTAGAAACGTCCTGCGTGGGGGAAAAGGTATTTCCTCCAACTGTGAAGCTATGGGGAAACATGGAAGCTCCGGCTTTCGGAATGCCGAGGAATGTACCTGCCTGGGCAGCCGCTGCTGCTACTGTGACCTTAAACAAGCGCCTCTTGTCACTGCATGAGGTGTTTGCTGTAGTACTAGTGGAGTAGCATAAGGAAGTAGTAGTGGTTCTGGAAAGAAACGACGTTTTCTTAGATAAAAGGAGTCTCCCGATCGGACAGCCCCTCGTCTTGTTAAACGAGACAAAAAACTTAACAACTGGATTACTACTAATAGCTTGTACACTGAATTAAGGTGTTAAATGTTAACCACACTAAATTTGCCCCAGTAGAGAACATCTTAGCTGAAAGCCCAATAAGCTTTAAGATTAAGTTAAGTTACAAATTAAAATTGTGACTTGTTTTTCTAAGATTGTGAAGTGTATTTTGGTAGTTTTACTAAATGCCGTAGTCATAGCTATGTTTTTAAAATCTTCCTGCTTGTTTTTGGTGATGCTCAAAACTAGAAAATACTTGAGTGAGTGAACAATTCTTTGAGGATTTTTTTTTTTTTTTGCTCTAGAGTTGTGCTGAAGAAAACAAGACACCTCAGTGACAACCCCAAGTATCACAGGTGAGTGTTAATATTGTAGTCTTGTGAATTGGGGAACCGGGTTGTGCTTAGATTTTCTGTACATTACAACTAAATACTAAAATATGAGTGGTTGTTGAAAGGTTTTGTTATTTCAGGTTTTTAAATGCGTCGGCTTAATTAGCTTCCTAATGTTAGACCAGAATGAAATCCACAGATAAAGCCACCCTCCGTATTTAAGTTCGCCCATTCCTGGTGTCCTCTTTTCTGGAATTTGGTTTTTGAGACAGGGTTTGAGTAATCCAAGCTGATCTGTACCTTGCCTTGGCCTTGAGGGAGCCAGGTAGCCAAGGATGACCTTGAAGTGATCTCACTGCCTCAGCCGGACTATGCTATCATGTCCAGTTTTTGTTTCTGAACTTTAAACACGCAGTGTTTTAAGTCAGAATCTGAGTATTTTCATGATTCTGACCTCCCACTCAGATTTAAAAGTCTCTTGAAAAAGGTCCTATTAGTGAGAATTTAGGAGTGAAGGCTTTTGGTTTTCTGTTTCTTCATTTTGTTTTTTTTTTTAAGAAAAGTATACTGCTGAGCCTCTCTGGCAATCACCCACACATAATTCCACTATCCAGTTTTTGGTATACATACTTATGCCTATGTGAGTTTGAAAATTAATGAAAAGTAAAGTAAAACTCTCTTGTAGTCTCTCTACCAAATTATAAGTTTATTCTGTATTTATTGGATTTGGATTGCTTTTTGAAATGATACAGTTGTGTTCATTTTGTTACTTTTTTTTTTTAAGCTAAGGAACCTCAGAAGTAGTTTGCCTATAAAGTACATTCCGTGGATATCTAGAATAGATAAATCATGATTTAAATTTTGGTTGTGCTGGGATTGAATGCAGGCCCTTGGACATCGTGACAGGCAGATGACCTCCAGTATACTGTCCTGTCAGCAAGACGTGCCTTAATTTGTGAGAGCTTTCCTGTTTCTTTTTCTGTGATAGCCACGATAAGCCAGAAGTTTTACAAAATGTTATGCCTAAAGACTATTAGTGGCTAAAATTTTGAGGCTTCCTGGTTTTCTTTGACAGCCTGGCTCTTCTTTGGAATAGATTTTCAGAAGTGAAAATGCAGAAATTTTTCTCCAATCTTTTGTTCAAATAGAGTTAGTTACCTTTTTTTCCCCTCCCTCCTTAGACTGGGTTTCCCTTTGTTCCCTGTGCTGACCCAGAACTCCTAGACACAGAAGTCTTTTCAGCCTCAGCTTCCCAGCCAGCTAGGTAGGCTTACAGGTGTTATCCTTTCAGAACCTGGCAGAAACATCTAACAGCAATTCTTTAATGAAAACGTTTTTAACATCCTACTTTGGTCTTCAATTTTTTTTTCAAAAGCAAAGATTCTTTTATTAAGTTAACTACCTTAACTCGAGCCCTTCCTCCATCACGATGGGTGGAATGAGATGGAATCTTCAAATGTTTAACATTACAATTTAACTGATCTTTGACTGTCAATAATATGTGGGTTGAGGGCTGGGAAATGGCTTAGTGGGTAGAAGTCCTGCAGCACAAGCACGTTAGTTCAGATCCCCTGTGTGCATATACAGCGCCCAATGCTGGGTATGCAGGAAGAGCCTGGAAGCCATGATGGTCAGCCAGTGTGGCCATTCAGTGAGCTTATAGTTTAGTAAGAAGGCCTTTCTGTCTCACAAAACAGTAGAAAGTGATAGAGGAAGACACCTGCCATTATCGGCCTTGAGACCTCAGTGCTGCAGGTGTTTGCATCTGGATACTTCACACACAATATGAAGACTGAGAAAACCCATTAAGCACATATTAGCTGAACCTGGTAATGCAAGCCTATAGTTCCAGCATTCTAGAGATTGGGGCTGTGATGCAAAAAAAGAATGTATGCACATGCTTACCACTGGGCCTTTTACTGGATCGCTGTGTCACGTGTAAATGAAAGAAATGACTGACGATAAACTTTTGAAAGACTAGTTTACAGATTCTAGTGAGAGTGTAATTAGCTGCCCTATGTGGTCTTTCTTACTGAAATAGTAAGTCAGGACATTTTTATGCCTTTTTGAACATTTATTTCAAGGGATGGTGTGCATGTGTCGTAGTGTCTGGGTGGAGGTCGGGACAGCTTTTGGGAGAGTTGGTTCTCTCCATCTACCATGCAGGCTCCTGGCTCATGCCTGAGTTACCACGCTTTGCAGCACACTTCCCTACAGGGTCATCTCCAGCCCTGGATGCTTATTTATTTACTTGCCCACTTACGTACTTTCAATTTCTGTTGGTTTTTTGTTTGTTTTAATTGAGATAGGATTTCTTTTTTACCTGAGGCTAGACTAAAAATTTTGGGGCTCAAGAGGACCTTCTGCCTCAGCATGAAAGTAGTTGTAACTACTTCCTGTACGTACTCCTTGATTCCTTCTACTTTTAATTTGTCATTACTTAATATTTAACACAGAACACTGAACATTGTGTTTTGCTTGATTCTTTTACTCTTCATAAAAGCCTGATGAAGGAAGTTTGTTTTTAAAATAACAACGTATGTTCTAGGTCTGAGGTGAAACATGCTGAGAATGCACTCTTTGTCTTTCAGAGTAACACTGGCTTTTGTGGGGAGAACCAAGTTGCTGTGGCTCTAGAAGACCTAGGATTTATTGCTTGTGCTGAAAAGTTCTGGTTCTGGTTTGTAATTTTACTTCATCCTTAAGTGAATGAGATTGGCCTTGTTATATGTGTATGCACACACATATTTGTGTACCTTTTTGGAAAGCAGTTTAATTGCAGAAGCTTCAGTGTATATGTTCAGAAGTAGAATTGATATAACTTGGTTGAATATAGCTACTTCCAAGATTGAGTTTGGGAGGGATTACATAATTCTAATCAGACTTTGTATTTTGGGTACCAGGGATGTCAGTCTTGATTGTAAAGGTACTGTACCTTTCATACAAAGGCTCTAGACTCAAAACCCAGAATCTGCATGAATGATCTTTTACCCTGTTGGACTTTGTTGTTTGTTCTGTGACCTAGTGAATGATGGTTTTCATTCACAAATAATTCCAACTATAATGACAGTCTATTTCAGGGTAAGGATTAAAGCAGCTCTGGGCTACTTAATGACATTCCTCCAAAGATCTATGCCTAGGGAGCTTAGTGTGAATAAAATAAGTAACATAATTAAATGTGGAAGGTTAATCTAAATACTTCAAAAGATTCAAACTGGCCAGGTGTTGGTGGCACATGCCTTTAATCCCAGCACTTGGGAGGCAGAGACAGGCAGATCTCTGTGAGTTCGAGGCCAGCCTGGTCTACAGAGCGAATTCCAGGACAGCCTCCAAAGCCATGCAGAGAAACCCTGTCTTGAAAAACCAAGAAAAAAAAAAGATTCAAACAATTTGGGTTTTTTGTTTTGGTTTTGTTTTTCAAGATGCCATTTTTCTGTGTAGCCCTGGCTATCCTGGAACTCGAACTGTAGACCAGGTTAGCCTCAAACTAAGGGTTCCTCCTGCAGCTGCCTTCCGAGTGCTGGGATAAACGGTGTGGGCCATCATGCCCAGCTGGTTATTTTTAAAGATTTAAACAGTGGCTCCTGGTCAGTGAAGGTTCCATATACAGTCATCTCTAGAGTCATCTTTAAGCAAGCAGAGTCCAGAGCTAGTTCAGTGGAAAGTTGTGAACAAGCATGACTGAGAAAAGCTATTTCAGATAGTAAACAGTTGGGAAAGGATGCCTGGCAAAAGACGGGTCAGAAAAGTTAGGCTTGTGTTGTCAGAGTTGCCAGAGTCAGCTGTGGAGCATTTGCCTGGAGACTGGGGAATGAATGTAAAGATGATTTTTATCTTGTTGTTGGCCCTTTGAGATAGGGATGTATTAGCCTTGGGTGACCTGAAACTCACTATTATAGACCACCTGGCCTCAAATTCACAGAAATCCCACTGCCTCTGCTCCCAAGTGCTGGGATTAAAGGCATTGGCCATCACACCCACCTTAAGAGCTTGGCTTTTTTCAAGACAGGGTTTCTCTGTGTAGCCTTAACTGTCCGGCAGCTCGATTTATAGACCAGATTGGCTTCAAACTTAGACCTACCTCTGCTCTCAAGTGCTGGGATCAAAGGGCATGCGTGACTACTGCCCAACAAGATATTTTTATTTGGTTTTTTTGTTTTGTGTAGTTTTATAAGCCGTGTTCTTCCTTTCTTTAATCCTTTGTTAGTCTTCTTTTACCTGTTTGGTTTTTGTTTTGTTTTGTTTTATTTTTAAGGCAGGCTCTCATATGGCCAGGACTGGCATGTTGCCTTAGTCTCCCTAGAGCCCTAGTGCTGAAGTTACAAGTGGGTACTATTGTGCGTGATTTCTTTATTATTTGCTTTTTAATGTTTTTATTCTTCTAATCCCACTGATCCCCACTTCTACTCTTGTTTGTTCTGTTGTCTGTCCCCATACCAAGGGTTCATCCTCTCCTATCCAATAAGTTCCCTTTGCTTTGCGTATGGGCACCCTACCAGTGACTATACATTCCTGAAGAAAACATTTCTTCTTCTATCAAGCATTAGCTGTGTAAATACTTGGGGAGGAGTGAGGCCCCATGAGAACCTCTCCCTTCTAACAGGATGTTGACAGGCCCAATCTTGTTCAGATCTTGAGTAGAAGTAACCGTGGCTACCATGAGTTCAAGGGTACAACAGCCAGGTCAGTGTTCCATAGCTCATGACTTCCTCTGGCTCTTATATTCTTTCTGCCTCTTGTGTGATATACCTTGAGCCTTGAAGTGGGTTATTTAGAGCTGAGCCCTGGACAGTCACTCTCAGCACTTGCTAGCAAGCCTTCCCGTAGACCTTGGAGGAAGAACAAGGAGACCACCGTGTGGTCTTGTCCCGCCAAAATGCTTATGTGTGATCTTGTACATTACCCAAGCAACCCTTGCTTCCTCTATATTCTTGCACTTTCAGAATCCCACCCTATGGTTTCAAAATAGCCAATGGAATTATATGTTGCCACTTGTGGGAGACAAAGAAACAAAAAATCATATAAAAGTCTGTAAACAGTTCTAGTCTATATGCTACCACAAATAAAAACTTTTCCTGTAGAAACCTTGGTGTCCTGTTTCTTTGTTCAGAATCCCACATTTCTTGGTTCTGTCTGGGATTTGGTGATGGGGATGTCACCTCCCTTTTCACCAAGGTGAGTCGTGATGCCCATCTTGCTGTTCCAGGCCAGAGACCGTGAAGTTTATCAGAACCTGATAAGTCCCAGGAGCCACAAGAGGGGCCTGACTACTTCCTGGAACCCCAGGACTTGCCCAGATAGTTCATACAGGTTGGACTGCAGTGGCTCAAGGTAGAATGGTGGGCTGGAAGTATGTTTGGAAGAGTCAGACAAGGGACTTGACCACATAGGCCAAAGTAGTTAGTCATTGAGTGAGTTTCAGTTCCCTGAGGATCCTCATCCATGGTGGCCTTACTGGAGTCCAGATACTGAGAATTCTAGCTCTGACCCACTAAGACTAAGGAACATGAAATAACCCCAAAGGGATGTGTCTAGTAATAGATGGAGCAAAATTTTATTCTCTCCCTCCCTGCCCTTGTGTGTTCAGGGTTGTCACAGCGATTCGGTACCCATCCCCTGTTGGCTGGATGTATGCAGTTCGTTCCTATCCGCAGTGGTTATGAGCCTGATTAGAGCAAAATTGTAAAAAGCATGCTGTTATGATGTATATTTATGATTTATTACTGCTTGCCTGAGGATTCAGAAGCAAAGCCAGCCTCTAGCTATAGAGATCAGGCAGTGGTGGCACACACCTTTAATCCCAGGACTCAGGATTAACAGGTAGTTCAAAGCCACACTAATTACACGAAATAGATCCAGTCCTAAAAGAAACAGGTCACAAAAAAGTAATCTCAGCACCTAGTATCACATGCCTTTAATCCCAGTATCAGGGAGGTATATAAGAAAAGAACAGGGTCACAGAGCTGGCATTTAGTCTGAGAGTTAGTCTCTAGCCACATTGAGGAGAGAATAGCAATCTGTGGAGCAGTAAAGTTGGAAGCAGTTTGAGGATCATCACCCCTTTGGTCTGAACTGAGGTAGAGGTAAGAGCTAGTGACTGACTGCTTTGCTTTTCTGATCTTCAGCTGGAAGCTTGAACCCCAATTATCAGTCTCTGAGTCTTTTATTCATCGTGCTACAGCATGTTCGCAAAGGTAACAGTTAAAAATGTAGAGCAGAATCTGAGAAGCTTGTTCTGAAGAATCACCATGTAGTCATCATGCCATCAGCACTTGTCAGGACCTCTGGAAAAAAACTGTTCTTAACCACTGAGCCATCTCCAGCATGATTGGCCTGTTAAACAAGCCAATGTGGACTATTTCATTGATGGCAGTAACTTTATCAAGGAGGGTGAATCCTTTGCTGGTAATTCTGTAGTGACACTTAATTCTTCCACTGTGCTTAAGCCTGCCCAAGGGGACTTGAGCATAAAGGGCAGACCTTGGCTGGGATAAGCTACAGCATATATACAGACTCTATGCTTCCTTCTAACTCTATACAAGGGCCCAATAAAATGAAAGGGGGCCTGATTAGTTCTGAAGGAAAAAGACCGTGTGCCTGGGAAATCATGGGACTTTTAGAGACTATAACAGTTCTGAAAAGACTAGCTATTCTAGACTATTAGGAATACCAGAGGGTACTGCAGTTTCCCAAGAAATCACAAAGCGGTCCAGGAGATAAAACTGGTAGATTCCCAAGGCAGAAAAGGCAGTAGCTATAACTGCTGTACTGTTCCCAGCCTATTATTGTTAGTCAGGCTTGGGACAGTAGAGATAACAATGGAATGAATGGCAAGCTCCCAGGGACCACCTTGGATATGTGGGAAGGCAGCTTATATAGTGCTTCACTTGGGGTTGGGGTCTTGTGTGCTGGGTTCTGCTACCCCTTGCCATAGAGGTGAACAGTAAGGAATGCAGGCATATGAGGACGGCAAAACACAAAGCGACAAACTTTACAGATCAGGAATTGGAAGAATGATTAGTGGGCCCCAGAACATATCATTTAATATTACGGTCAGGCCACAAGGAAGAAAGGAAGGAACTTGGGGACTACCATATTCCCAATACTTGTGAAATCACATCATCAGATTACAGGAAAGTTTTTGAGATTTATAACCAATGAAACTGCAAGGGTTCTTGATACTCTAGCCAGATAGCAAACAAAATTGCAGTGCCATTTACCAAGATTGCTTGGCTTTAGACTACTTACTTGCTTGCAAAGGAGCTGTTCATGGAAAATTCAACCTAAGCTACTATTGCTTAGAAATAGATGATAAAAGAAAAGTCATGGAAGACATGACAGATGGAATGAGGAGAGTTGCTTATATTCCTCACAGATGTGGAATGGCTGGAACCCGGATAGCTTAGAGGATGGTCTTCAACTTTAGAGGAATTCAAGGCCTTCCTAAGTGTCACGCTTTCAATGTTAAGGGCTTGTGGGGGCATGCACTTGAAATGGAAACGTGCTGAGGTTCACTGGCCAACCTTTGTAGCCGAATTGGTGAGCTTCCAGGCCAAAGCAAAACCTTGTCTCAAAGGAAGTGGCTGATGTTCTTAGGGTAACCCTTTAGTTTCAAACCTCTGACCTCTGTATGCACCCCATGTGATCCTACACACCGCTGGTAAGTCACCTGAAAATGAAAAATGAAAATGCTTGAAGGATTAAGTAATATTCAAGAATATTCAAGCCAGGCATTGGCGCACGCCTTTAACCCCAGCACTCGGGAGGCAGAGAGTCAGTAGGAT